TTTTAAAAATCTGTTTAAAATATAAGTGGCTGTTCAAAGCAAAGATACTAGTAGAGTATTCTTGGGTTTACACAATATGTGGACGTAAACGTATGGCCCCCTGAGCCCGCGAGGTGGAGAGGGCATTATAGGAAGATTCTGACACTGTCTGTGGCACTGGACGGGGGGACGGTCCATTGTGCCGCTCAGACTTCAGAGCAAGCTAAACAAAGACACAGAAAAAGAAAACAAAGAGGTCAAGCTAATAAGCGAATGGAGGAGATAAGATGGAATCACAAATACTCAATTCGTCCAAAGGAAGGCAGAGAGAGAAGAGACGAAGAACAAAGGACAAAGAGAAAATGAACAGGAAGACGCAGAGGGCAGCCCAACCATCGCAGTGATCACACTGAATGTGAATGGTCTAAACGCTGCCAACTGCAAGGAATGGTCGGAGGGGACACAAAGGGACGACCCACCCGTGCGCTGTCTACAGGGAATCCGCTTTAAAGGTGAGGCAGAGAAGTCAGAAGTACAGGACGGAAGACGAGACGCCATGCTCCGTCTACCTGGACCCCTCACGCCAGCCGGACCCTGGCCCTTGCATACCAGGATCATCCCGAATGTGTGTTGACATGCACCCGCCTGGCTCTCTCGCCACCTGGAGTCTGGCTTTTTGCCCAGTTTAAAAACGGGGCCCTGCCCCATGGCTGAGTGGTTAAAGTTCTGCGCACTCCACTTCCCCGGCCCGGGTTTGCGGGTTCCGATCTCAAGCTCGGACTACTCCACTCACCAGTGTCCTACATACAAAATAGGGGAAGATTGGCACAGGTGTTAGCTCAGGGTGAATCTTCCTCACCAAAAAAAAAAGATGCAAAGCGGGAGAATTTTATGGTGATGAAACTATTTTGTGTGATACGGGATCTGACCGCCTACATTCGGCAAAGCGTGGAACTGTGCAACACCAAGACTGAACACTAAGGTAAACCGTGGGCTTTAGCTAGCAATAACGTGTCAATATCCGCTCAACGACTGTAACAAATGTGTCCCACTGATGCCAGATGTTAATAACAGGGGGAACCGGGGTGGGAGGGCTTATGGAGTTCTAGTACTATCTGCTCAGTTGGTTCCGTAAATCTAAAACTGTGCTAACAATAGTCTATTAATTATTTAAAAACAAACCAACCAATTGAAAAAAGATAGTGCAGAGGATCTGAGGACTGGAAGAGGTCTGAGCTCAACCTGGGAACCTGAGGAGTCCCCGGGTCCCGGCGTCTTTACAGCCCAGCTCCACGGGCAACAGCTGCTGGTTTCTGATTCCCAGCCAAGTTCGTCTCGCTACTCCGCACACTTCAACACTTATCACTTCATAGTGTTAATTATTGCAGCTCCTCCCCATTTACAAGTATCTTATCAACAAACAACTTGTGGATGCATTGCTGGGGTGCCTGATAATGCAGCAGTGGCAGGAGCGAGTTTCCAGAACCTTCCAGCCCCAGTTTTGCTTCAGGTCAACCACACCTCAGCGTCGCCCACCGGCGTCAAGGCGCACAGGCGCTAAGAGCTATCTCTGCGAGACAACGTGGGGGACGCAGGCCCCTCTCCAGCCGCTCCGGGCCCCTGCTCTCCAGCCCCGGGCAGACAGGAGGCGAGAGGTTGGGAGCAGGGCTCTGATGCTATGTGAGGCTGGGCCAGTTACTCAGCCTCTCTGTGCTAGGGTCTGATTTAACAGCTGGCCCCTGGATCACAGGGTTAACAAGGAGAGGGTGTGATCAGCACATCTTGAGACCTTACCAACAATAGGTGTCCTTTTTCTTGACGGCTCCTGTACCCTGGTTGGGGGTAGCGGGCAGGGAGGGCCTTCTCAGAGAGACCAGGAGACAAGGCCACAGTGTTCCCAGCTGTGAGAGTCTGCTAGGGCCACCAGAACAAAGCACTGCTGACGGGGCGGCTCAAACCACAGACATTTACGGTCTCTTAGTCCTAGAGGTTGGACGTCTGAGATCCAGGTGTCACAGGGCTGCTTCCTCTTGAGGCCTCTCTCCTGGGCGTGTAGACGGCCGTCTGTGTGTGTCTGTGTCCTCACATGGTCGTCCCTCTGTGTGTGTCTGTGTCCTCATCTCCTCTTCTTATAAGGACTCCAATCACACTGGATTAGGGCCCACCCTACTGACCTCATTTTACCTTAATCACCTCTTTAAAGCCTGTCTTCAAATACAGTCACATTCTGAGGTGCTGGGGATCAGGACTTCAACATAAGAATTTGGGAGGATGCAGTTTGGCCCATAACACCAGATAATTCCTAAAACATGCCCACAGACCTGGCCCCATAAGGGAGGATGGCAGCGAGCTGCTGAGATGTGAGCCCAGTGGGGTTAGGGTGGGAGGGCTCCTATGAGGCTCCGTCCTGGCATGGGCTGGGGACACGGCAGAGAAGAAAGAGGAATTCCAAGTCCTGGGTCCAGCCCCGGGCCTGCCGAGTCACCCCGTGTCCCTGACTGCCACGTCTGCATCTGTGTCATTCGGTCCTCACTGGGTTTTTGTAAAGGCGCAGTGGGCTGAGGACAGCCGAGCAGACCCCAGGATCCCAGGATCAGGAGGGCTCTTCAATATTAATTAGCATCTGGAAGCGCCCAGGGCAGGAGAGCCAGGGTGGTCGTCACAGACAAGCTGGCTGGCCCCCTTCCCGAGCTCCCTCTCACCACGACAATTCTGAGATGGACAGAGAACCATCGCAGGCGTCTAGAGAGCAGGCGCTGGGGGTCGGAGCTGGCTCAGGCCTCCACACGGAGTGTTTCCCACACTACCCCATTTCACAGCCCTGTGGGAGAGGTCCCTTTTCACAGGGCAGACAGCTGAGGATCAGAGGCTGAATGCTGCCGTTCCCGGGGTCACTGGGCTGCTGGCGAGTGGCAAGTAGGTTCCTGGTTCTGCACACGCTGCCAGTGTAATTTGCCAGCGAGACTCTGGAGGGGAGGGGGTTCTGCTCAGGAGGGGTCCCCGAGGACAGGGGTCCCCCTGGCACCTAGGAGGTGTTCGAGCTTGACAGGCTGGCAGGCGCAGGTGCCCATGCGCCTTCGTGGTGCCCGAGGAGATGGGGCTTGGCGCCACTGGGTGTGTGTTTTTAACTCCAAAGGCTCACCAAGCCAGACTCAGTCATTTAGCTCAAAAGCAGGGAGCTTTTCCGTCCCCGCAGCTGTGTCCTAGCAGCCAGGAGGGGCTCTCATCCTGCGGAGGGCTCCGGCTGCTAGCCACCAGGCCATGGAAAGAACTTATTTTAGGAAAACGGGAAACCACCTATCACTTAGGGAGGAATCCGGGCTAATTGTGAAGCCACTCTCAGTTTCTTTATTTAGCTATTTATTAAACTGGCTCGAACTGGAATTAATGGTTGGGCCAGCCTCACGGCTCCTCATGTGCGCATCCTGGAGGCAGCCGCAGCAATTTCGGCCTGATTAAAGGCTCCGCCGGCCCACCTCCTCCCTCGGACACACAGCTCAAAGCTCCCGGCTCAGGAATGCGTGGCCCGTGGCTCGCAGGCCTGCCTGCCGCCGCTGGAGAGTCCGTTTTTGCCTCAAAATCCACGCCCTGGGCCCCCCCGCCCACTACGGATGTTGTTGAGTGTCTCTGTGGGCCCTGGCTGTGGCCACACAGCGCTGAGCAAGCCCGGCGAAGCCAGCCCCCAGCAGCCCATCCTGGGGCCCTCCTGGTCCCAGATACCCTCTGCACACCATCCCACCGATGGCTTTGAGGCACCTTCCACATTTGAAATGGTCTCGTGTAACAATTTCCCGCCCCTCCAGAATGTGGGGTCCAGGAAGCCAGGGCCCTCACCTCCCCGTTCATCCCGCATCTCTAGATGCTGGAACAATGCTGGGTACACAGCTGGTGCTCAATCAAGATGCATTGAGTTCCTCACTCCTGTTTGGAAAAGAAAGGCTGCAGAGACTCGTCCCAGGGGAACTTCAGGCCCGAAGAGCAGCTCACGGTGAAAATCAAAGATGCTACTGGGGGCATCGGCCGAGCAGCCAGGTGGTCCCAGCCCCAGGCTGGGGCTCCACTGTGGGTGACCTCAGATCCCCTCCCACCACGCTGGAGAGAAACACTCCTGCCCCCCAAGGAACCCTGTCAGGCGCTGTAACCTACACATCCAGCAGGAGTGAGGGCCTGGCCAACTCACACCCACCATGATGGCTGGAATCAAGAAGATAGGTCACAACAAGCGTTGGTGAGGATGTGGGGAAATCGAGACCCTCATATGCTGCCAGTGGGAGTGCACAGTGGTGCAGCTGCTGTGGAAAACAGCCTGAAAGATCCCCAAATGATGAGACCTAGAGAGGCTATATGGCCCAGCAATTCCACTCCTAGAAATGAAAACATGGGTCCACACAAAAACTTGTAAACGAATGCTCATAGCAGTTGTATTCAACATGGCCCCAAAATAGAAACCACCCAGACGTCCATCAGCTAACAAAAGCATAAACAGAATGTGCTCTATCCACCCAATGGAATATTATTCAGCCATTAAAAGGAAGGAAGCCCTGACACAGGCTACAACATGGATAAGCCTTGAAAACTTTCTGCTAAATGAAAGAAGCCGGACACAAAAGGCCACATATCGTATGATTCCATCCATACAAAACATCCAGAACAGGCAAATCTACAGACAGAAGGTAGATCAGTGGTCGCCTCGGGCTGGGAGGGATGAGGGAACAAGAGGGAAGATAGCTAAAGAGTACAGGGTTTCCTTTTGAGATGATGAAAATGTCCTAAAATCGACTTGAGGGGCTGGCCCAGTAGCATAGCAGTTAAGTTTGCACGCTCCGCTTTGGTGGCCTGGGGTTCACAGGTTCGGATCCCGGGCACAGACATATACACGGCTCGTCAAGCCGTGCTGTGGCAGCGTCCCACATGCAAAATAGAGGAAGATTAGCACAGATGTTGGCTCGGGGCCAATCTTCCTCACCAAAATAAAGTAAAATAAAATAAAATTGACTTTAGAACAAGTCTGACTTTAGAACAAGGTTGCACATATCTGTCAATATAGTAAAAACCACTGAATTGCACAGTTTAAATGGGTGAATTGTATGGTATGTGAATTATATCTCGATAAAACTGTGACCGAAAAACCAAAAACGAAGGAGGGCCTCGTCCAGCCTGGCTGCTCCTGGTATATATCCAACCAAAATGCGTACACGCGTACCCCAGAAGGCATGTGCTAGAATGTTCTTGGCAGCTTTAGTTATAAAAGCCCCAAGCTGGACTCTCTCCAGATGCCCGTGGAGAGTTGAACGAAAAGTAAAGTGGTGCCTTCGTACCGTGGAATGCTGTACGACGGCACCCTGCAACCCCACCTAAGAAGAGGCTGGACCCGACATGTGTTGAGCTGATCAACCAGAAGCAGGAGCACAGACGCTGGGCGATTCCTTTCTCACGGCACAAAGCGGGTGAGGCTCAGAGGCGTCCTTAGGAGGCAGGAGGGTGCTGACCCTCGGGGCGAGGTGCTGGGTGTGGCTGGGGTCTCCTGGGTGCTGGCCGGGTCTCGATCGGGATGCTGGCCTCAGGGGGGTGTTGTTTGAGAAAAGTCACTGAGCTGCACATCGGGGATCTGTGCGCTTTTCTGTGTGAACCTCATATGCCAATAAAAGTATCTACAAGTGGAGGTCAAAAGCAGCCCGCACGGCCACAGGGCGGGGGCAGGCTCGTATGCAGCTCTGGGGGCAAGCTCCAGCTTTTCTGGCTACCTTTGGGTGGTGATGGTTTTCTTACCTGCCCAACGGGGGTGATGATGGCACCTACTTGAGAGGGCTGTTCTGAGGACCAAGGGAGCTGCTGCAGGGAACAAGTGAAGCGGGGCCCGGCACGGGGCCAGGGTGCCCCAAGACGAGGCCGGCTGCTGTTTCTCTGACTAGCCAGGCTGCCCTCTCAGGTCCCCGAGAAGACAATAAGGATCCTTCCCCTCCCCCAGATGACCACATCCTAATCCCGGGAACCTGTGAATACGTTACCCTATGTGGCAGAAGGGACTTTGCAGCTGCGATGAAGTTAAGGGGAGATGATCCCGGCTTATCCGGGTGGGCTCAGTGTAATCACAGGGTCCTTGTTAGAGGGAATCAGAACAGAGTCGGAGAAGATGTGACTATGGAGACAGAGGTCGGAGTGATGAGGCCACAAGCCAAGGAGTGCAGGTGGCCTCCAGGGGCTGGAAAAGGCAAGAGGGGAGATCCCGCCCCGCACAGGCAGAAGGAACCCTGCCGACACCTTGATTTTAGCCCAGCAAGCCCAGGCAGGACTCCTCACCTCTAGAACTGCAAGAGAATCAATTCGCGTTGTTTTAAGCCACCAAGTTTGTGGCCGTTTGTTACAGCAGCTACAAGCAACTCCTGTGTTCGGCCTCTCTCATCCTGCCTGTGTCTGACGTGCCCAGAGCCGTGTCTGCGCCCCGGGTCCTCACGGTGGGCCCTTGGGGTGCTGTGTAAGCTGTAAAGCCCCCACCCTTGTCACACTGGCTGGGCAGAGGAAAGGCTGAGTCTCCTATGAAGTGTCCCCAATGGGGCCCCCCCAGCCTGTCGGAACACAGCAGGGCATGGCCACTCCCCTGCCAGGGGCTCATGCAGAACACCTGCAAACACCCTCCAGGATCCTCACCCCACCCAACACACATTCATGGAGGCCCCACCGTGCCCCAGGCTTGCTAAGGGGCTGGGGACACAATGGTGAATAAACACCCAGAGGGTCTCCCCGAGGGAGCCCGGAGTTCAGCTGCAAAGGTAGCTGTTGATCGAATCATGAAATCTGGGCTGTGAGAGACTTAGGAGGGGGTGGGGGGGGCAGCACGGCGGGAAGATCTGGGAAGATCTACCTGGGGAGGTGATAATTGAGCTGGGAAGTGTGTTCCAGGCAGGAAGTTGGAGGGGACAGAGCAGGGCCCTGTGAGCTGGGGGAGGGGAGAGGAGGAAGAGGCCAAGATCGGCAGGGGCAGCTAGGATGCTGAGCCCCATAGAAGGCTCCAGAAGGCTATAAGCTGGGGGTGTTGTGATCCAGTTTGCTTTTGGAAAGACCCGCTGGAGACTGGCTGGGGGCACAGTGGCTCTGGCTGACCCGTCAGGGGGCCTTGGTGGGTACCCAGGGGCTGCCCTCCTCCCTCAGGGGGCGGGGCCTGCCATCCCAACCTGGCGGCCACCCCCCAGGTCTGCGACCCTGGCTGCGTCCTGGGAGCTGGCTCCGAGGGACCTCCATCCTGCTGGCCTGTGGGTGGGGTGGGGCCCTGCAGAGAGAGCCGGATCCCCCCAGTGGGGCTCCAAAAGGTGCCAACTCTGCAGCTTGCAGGGCCAGGACCCCCAGGCTGTGGGCTGCTCGGCCCACCCTGCACATCATAAACGCATTCCAGCGTCCCCTTCACTTGTTCACTGACCTGCGACCAGGTGCAAATTGGGCCCGGCCGGGGACAAAATGGCTTTGATGCGCCAAATGGCACTTTTTTTTGAGGGGGGCATTGGACGGCCCCCGTCACCCAGGCATGGCGTCCCGCGGAGACCCAGGACCAAGGAGGGCAGGAAGGTTTCTTTTTATGAGCCGCCTCTCCCCAGAGCAGCTGCCGTCGTGACTGGGCCAGTCCTCTTCCAAGAGCGGGGGGCTCGGCCACCAGGCCCAGCCCCTTGCAGGGCACAGAGATTAGGGTCTGCCTCCCCTGTGCGTGGAGCCTCCAAAGAGAAGGGGCAGGGATTCTCGCAGGCGCTAAAAGCTTTGTTAAAAAAAATAACAAACCAACAGTGTTGCATCCGAAGGCCTTTCCCGGGGTCTCGAGAGAAGCCAGGGAGCGGAGGGGCCCGGGTCCTCCCAGGCCTCGCTGAGCCTGCAACCCCTCCCTTGTTCTCCTGCAGAGTCATGGGCAGGTCCGGGGGACAGGGGCCTGGTTCCCCGTTTCCACCCTCATCACAGACGCTTCCTTTGTTCAGTGGGAGCCAGGCTGACAAGTCCTTTCCCCGGCATCTCGGACGCAGGTGGGTGAGCAGGGTGGGTCCTCGCCCGTTTCACAGATGGGGAGGCTGAGGCCGAGAAGATGGGCAAACCGGGTCCCTCCCCATCCTCTCCCGGACGTTGCTCCTTCTCTGTCTTGGGGGACTCTCGTCGACCCCGTGGACCCCGCAGAAAGGGAGGCAGACTACCTTGGGTGGTTTTGAACTGAAGTTAATCCCCGTAGTCCAGACCCCCTTGCTAACCTTGGCCTCCTGCTGAAGCCCCCTTGCCTCACCCCAGTCCATTCCCCAATGGCAGCCGGATCTTTCTAAACGCGGACTTCCACGGCCCTCCTGCCCACCCCTCGCCCTCGGCCGAGAGCCCGCACCCTGGTCTTGGCCTTCGAGGCCTACCCACGAGCCACAGCCCTTCAGCCCCCAGGTGGCCGGCCTTGCCGCCTTCTCTTCGGTCATCACCAGGACTTGGAGGAGCTGGTGCTCTGAGCCATTCTTCCTCTATTGTATATGTGGGCCGCCGCCACAGCATGGCTGCTGACAAGTGGTGTAGGTCCGTGCCCGGGAAGCGAATCCGGGCCTCCAAAGTAGAGCTCATCAAACTTAACCACTAGGCCACCAGGCCAGCCCTATCTAAGTTTTGAATGAAGGGGCCTTCAGGAGGAAAAGAGAGACGTGAGCCACGGGTGGGTGCCCGGCACACTTGGGTGAACCGGCCAACTTCGGGGGCCCGTGGGGGATTCACCACCAACTCCCCGTGGGGTCTCACACGGGCACCCACCCACCCTCCACCTCCCTTCCCTGCTCTGTCCGGTGGGGGGAGCGATGCCACCTCCCTGCTCTCCTCACCCCCATTGACAGGGTCTCAGGGCTCAGTGCTCAGGCCATGGGCCCGTGTGGGGTTCCCGGGGCCATGACAGAGGCTGGCATTTGGGGTTTGTGGGGATGGCACCCTGGTCACGGCCTCCTGTGGGGCCCATAGGGGCGTCCCTGCAAGCTGTCCTGGGCCTGTCCCGCATGCGGAGGCTGAGACCTTGGTCTGGTGTCCTGACTGTGCTCTCTGCCCCCCGGGCATGCACAAGAGCCCATCACACCCGTCGGTGCCCCTCCTGGGCATGGGTGCCCTGGGGCTATTCAAACCCACTGTCTTGCTGAGAAGCTGCGAGGCTTGGACCAGCTGACGCCAGCTCCTGAGTCCACGCGGGACCAACGGGAGGATGGCACGTGAGATGGGAAACATCGACAGGCTCTAACACGGGCTGCTGATCTCATCATCGACACCACTCGGGCCGGCCTTTGAGGGCAGAGAGAACTGAGTGGCCCCTGGAGAAGAGGGTGGAAGGTCCACGTCCCACCCCCCCTCCACAGGCCAGGGCCACCCTGCTCTCAGATTGGGTGGGTCATTGGCATGCGGTTCTGGAAAGCACCCTGGCCTCACTCTGCTGCTGGACCCAGTAGTCAGGCGAGAGGGCAGCCTCCCCCGCTCGTTTCCAAGGCCCCTTCCAGCCCCACAGCTGCAAACGGCCCCTCTCCTGGCTCAGCCCTGCCCACCTGCATGTCTCCCCATAGCCCTGGGGGGCATTTGCCACCAGAACACCTTCACAGGTCGTGTGGCTGTGGGGGTCTGTGCTGGCCTGTGGCTGCTGCCCTCAGGGGTTGTACCAAGGGGGGACCCCCATCTGTCCCTGAGGGGCCCAAACCCTGCAAACCCCTGACCAGGCTGCTTCTGGGGACCGGATGGGGAGAGACGGGGGGCAGCTGCCTACATCGCCCCTCGGCCCGCCCACACCGAGGCCTCTGGACACAGGGAAGGCCCTGCCCTGGCCACTGGCCTTGCTCGGGGATCCTGCTCTCCCATTCCGACCCCCGTTCCTAGCAATCCTGGCCTCTCATTCTCGGCCCCCTTTGCTCCCGGGCACCTTGTCTTCCCACACTGGCCTCAGGTCAGCCCATGGGGGCTCACTTCTCCCCCCGCCCCCGACTTGCACATTCCTTTAGAGACATTCTGCCCCTGCACCCAGCATGACTGTGAATGAGAGACCCAAGGCTGGCTGGACCAAAACTCCAGCCTCCTGAGGGGGGAAGGGAATCATCCATCACCAATTCATTCAAAACCGATTTACTGAGCACCTACTATGT